ACTCTCCGTCTATCGCGCCTCGGACGGCGAAGGCACCCACAACTGCCCCGGCAGGGCTCGGATCGCGGGCTATAATCTGGGCAGCCAGGATCGCCACGCGAGCCCGTAGCTCTTCCCTCGAGGCACCCCTGCGTGAACAAGGTTCTGCAGATGGTGCGCCGTATTCGCAGCGGCGTCGGCTATCCAGCACGCCTCGATCGACCCCTCCTCGTCTACCGGCCGGCGATGTCTGTCTCGCCCTGCACGTCTCTGGTCCCCGGGGCTCAGTCTGCTTCTCCCATGAACGAACAAAGAGCGTCCCCATCCGGCCGAGCCCGAGCCCGCGGCGCCAGACACACCAGCGCCAAACAAAGGTCTTTGTCCGCCTTTCTGCCCCCTTCCCCAGCCGACATGAATTTGCGCGGCCTTCTAGCGCACCGGCCCCCTGCGAGCTCCCTCGCGAAACGTCGTTAGCCCATTTCCATTCTGGAGGCGGCCAGCCGACTGCGAGGTGCCCCCGGGGACGTGCCGCCACCGATCGGACGCGCGCACGCAGCCCGCCCACGTCAGCGCCCGCGGGGGCATGCGCACGCTCGGCGTCTCCTCTCTTGACGACAGTGCACGCCTTCTCCCGCTCCGCCGCGGCAACGGTGCTGCTCGAACGGGCTGCAAGTTCGTTCTACGTCCACCCGGGTAGGTTGCGGCTCGGGTGCGATGTCTGCGCACGTATGAAGACAGCGTGAACGCCGGACGGGCCTGGCGCGGCTTCCCGGCCTGCGCCACGCGCCTCGGGGCGAGCTCGGTTCGTGCGGGCGGCCGACTGGGATTGGGGGACTGGAACGGGTCGGCGCCCCGTCTAGGGACTGGAGCGTTGTGGTGCTCCCGTCCGCCGCGCGCCGTGATGCTCGTGCCCGGGTTGTGGCAATAGCCGCTGCGGCGCGGGAGGCGCCAGCCTGCGATGCATTGTCCAGGCCGTGTCGGTCGTAATTGCTACCGAGCGGCTGATGGCGGAACACCGTCGTCGATGTGTATGTACGCTTTTGACCTGATATTCTTTGAGCTGTCTAACATATCTGTAGCGTCTCCGGTAGCGCCAACGTGATATATTCTCCTGTGCGACTTAACCGGCCGGTCTCTTCGCTATGGAGATCGTGGCGTAGAGGCTCAATGCACCCACAAATCTCACAATTGACGACCGGACGTTTACCAGACTCAATCAGTGTGCGTATACTACTGCTCATATGCGGCAATGTTGAGCTCACAACAACATCACTTTGTAGGCTATCAACCAACTGCGAGGGTAGCCACCATCATATCCTAGGCTCCCGCGGACCAGGTATCTGCAGCGACCAAGGAATGCCTGCGCCGCCTCCATCTCCCCGCCCGTATAGCTGTTTCTTGATGCATCGACTGCGTACTCGAACTCGGGAGCGGCTGAGCCTCTTCCAGACCCCCCTCAGTACTTCCCCCTCATCTCTACCGACGTCACTGCTTCCCCGCGTTTTGTTGAACTCCCTGAGCGCCGAAGCCCTGCTGCGGCACCGTCTTACTCCCCAGTATTCCCTGATTATCGGATCGCGCGCCCGATGTCAATGTGGTCCGCGGGGGCGCCTTGAATATCCCTAAGCCCCTTCGGTGACCTGGAGTATAGCCGCTATGGGCACGCCCGCCGCTGCTCGGGTGTTTGGTTCAGCTTGCGGTCTGATGCGCGAGAACCACGGACCGTGAGGATGTTCAGGTGAGCTACCGTCGTGATACATTGTTCCTTTGTCCTCGAGGCCGCCTGGTAGGATTTCTTTGTACCAGCCGACCACGTTTGCTACTGACACGCCCGCAACACGTTTTCTCATAGGCGAGTGACTACGTGTACCGCAGCAGATAGGACGGGAGGGAATTGCGCGTTGCTTTTTCTTTGTGCATCATTTTCGGTCCAGTGCAGAGCAGTCTGCGGTGTGCTCCGGACGTCCAGCGCTTGGATCGCAATATTACCTGTATCATACACCGCGCAGGGGTTTGAAAACAAAGGTGCTCGACTGCCGCAAGGCTGCGGCGTCGCAGCTCGTGTGAGACGTCGGTTCCACGGCCTTCCCACAAGACCGTCTGCTAAGCGCCTCCAAATGCACGTCGATATGCCCGCAAACGAGGTGAGCAATGCCACATCCCGTCCCCTGATTTTTATCTAATGCTATTTGTTGCCTAGAACGACTCTGTTACTACGCCGCCTCACATACGCCACGATATGGGACGTAGATCCCGCGAGCCGCCCGCTATTTCCACCTGTACAGCCGATGCACGTCTCTCTGAGCGGCCCCAGAAATACTACCGCCCAACAAGAAGTTCGCCTGCCCGAACGGTAGGTGGATTTCCACACTAACTCCGGCACGCTATCTGTTGTGGAGCGCGGCCGCTGAGATGTCTGGTTATGAACTACATCTGCCGAGGAGGTACCTTCCGGATGGTATGCTTTAGCTTCTCGCTTTCTCGCCGCAGCCGAGTTCTATCCACTTATCGCACACAGCGCATTTTCAGCGCCGCCACCCTGCCCGCGCACAGCTCGATAGGGCACAGGCATATGACGCGTCCCACCTGCGCTGGACGAGGCCCGGACCGCTAGTCACCTCAGCGTGTGGGGGCACTCACCGTATTCCGAGTCCACGGCCGGAGGACTTCGTCCCCACCTCTCCCACGCAGGCAGCTCGGTAAGGGAATCGCACCGCGACGGACGACCCCCTGCGCCGCGCCAGGGAACCTGCGGCAGTCTCCTGACGGGCGTGCGCGACCGACTGCACAGCGCCCTTGCATCGGTTGCGCAGCACTCACCGTGCACGCATCGGCGGACTTACCTGGCAGGCAGAGTCACACCGAGCGCAGTGACGATGCGGCGGCTCCGCCGCGCCCCCTCGAGCGCGCTCCTGGCAGCTGACTGCGCGACGATCCCAGCGCATGGCACGCCGCAGGGTCCGCGCGTCCGTCACCGTCACGGCGCGCAAGAATTCCGCGGGCCTCCTGACCGGCCGCCCGCACGCTGGGGGAGGGGCGCGGGCTGCCCGTCGCGCGAATCCAGGCTCCGACCGCGAAGCCCGTCCAGCAGGCCTCTGCCGGGCAACACCAAGGTCAAATCGCCGCGCTCGTGCCGCGGACGGTGTGGGAACGCCTCCGCGTTGGGCAGAGAAGTCTCTGCCATGGGATCCTCGGCGGGGGCGCCCGTCGCAATCTTGAGAGGCGTGGGGAGCTGGGACTGCCGCCGGCACGAAGGTGGCGGTTGCGCACAGGCTCGTGTGGACGAGCGGCGCTTGTGATCCTCGGGCCGTTCCTGTCTTTAATATACGGCGGGAACACATGTGAACGATGGCAACATGGGAGTTCGGACCAAAGGGGGTGCTGGCCCACAAGTGAAAAGATATCCCACCTGCCGATTCGAACAAGTGTAGCCAAAAAGCGCAGCCAAAATGCTCAGCGACCGTGCGCTTTACCGACTGGCCTAAACGGGACGCGTCGGCGGCAATTTGATAATCCGATCGCTGTATGACTGCTTTAGTGCGGCACCCGGATAGCGGGCGCCCGCGCCCCGATGCTCCTTCGCCTCTTGCTCTCGTCCGCCGTGGCCGACGCTCTATGCTGCCGTCCTGAACGCCTATGCACCACTTCTTCCAGCAAGACCCCGGGCAGGGCTCTGGCAACATGTTCGGCGACGCTTCGCAGGGCTCCCAGCAGCAACAGCAACAACAGCAGCAGCAGCAGCAACAGCTTCTCGGCACCATGCAGTCCACCAATATGGACCTGCTCGGCAACCTGAACATGCTCGCAAACCAGGACGGCGGGGCACAGCAGATGCAGCCCCAGTCGCAGCTGTCGCAGACGCTATCGCAGGCGCTGCTCGACCAGCAGATCAAGCTAAACCTGTTGCAGCAGTTGCTTCAACAGCAGACGCAGCTGCAGAGCGAGATCATACAGCAGCAGGTACGAACTTTGATTCGGTTCTTGCTGTGGTCTGCGAAGGACGACGCCGACATCAACGAGGCCGCTGGAAGATGAAGATGTTCAGAACGCTGTGATTCCACCGTTCCGACCGGCGGACGCCCCTTTCCTTTAAAAAAAATCATCAAAGTGTTTCCATCGCAGCTGCCGGTTGGAGGGGCTTTCGATAGCACAACCTAGGCCACCTCATGCGAGCACATCTTCACAGTCTTCACTCATTGAGGACCGCTTGGCTCGGGCTGGAACACGGACGCGACGGCAGGTGCATGCGTGCTCTGCTTCGTGGCTTTGCCACGGGCGTAGAGAGCGTGCGCGCGCAGTCGCGTCAATACAGCGCATGGCGCCCCGCTTTCGAACTTGCACCCAGCCAAGTTGCGCCCGGCGGCGACCGAACCGAACTTAGATAGCTCACCGTCAGCTGCATGATATGGTGTGGAGACTTGGCTCCGATGTATAGATGCCGCCTGGCAGGGTACTTTCCACGTGCTACTTCAGCCGCTCCTCTCCTACACATGGGGTGCCCTCGCGACTACGGCTGCTTTTCGGTTAAAGACCAATGCAGTCCAGTACTTGCGCGTGCGGGGTCCTGGGATATCCACCCGAAGGCACGCAACTCCGGCCTGAAGCTTCAGGTCAATTCTCCGTGTTCTGCCTCCCGATGCATTCGCCACTTGTTTACATGTATACTGACGGGTTTCTTCCAGATGGGACTATTGGGTGGAGGCCAGTCCTCTTACCCACAGTCTTCGATGTCCAGGGATACACAGCAGTACGGCTTACTCACACCAGGTACGTCGTCCTGCCACCTCTCGACCGCCTTGCCCGTATTTATATTTATATTTGTGCAGGACCCTCGGGGGAGCTGCGAGCGCAACAAAATACGGAGTTCATCTCACCGATGCTCCTCCACACCGCCAACACGAATATGGGCACGATATCCCAAAACCAGTCCAGCCTCCCGAACTTCATCTCTCAGCATATGCTACCGGCTGGCCCGCACTCCGCTCCGCCGAACATCGTCTTTAGCCAACCCAATATACCCATGTCACCCGGCGAACTCGACTTCAACGAGCTGCACATCCCGAGCCCCTTCCTCGGCCCGCACAACAATGCCGGGAGCTCATCCCAGGTCTCTGGCCAGCCCTCGCAGGGCTCTGGCAACTCTCATGGTATGACGTCGTCGAGCAAGCGGCGCACTACATCTTCGAGCGGCGACGAGTCCGCCTCCCAGAGCAAGCCCGCGCGCAAGCGGCAGATACGCACCCCGCCCGTTGGGCCGTCGACAAGTAGCAGGAGGGGCAGCATTCGCGGCGGCACGCGGTCGGCGAACTCGACGCCCCTCTTCCCGCCGACGACGTCGACGATGCGGCCGAGCCCCGTGCAGCGCAGCTTCCACGGGTCCGGCGACGTGCCCGGCGATACGCCATCGCCGGTCGATCCGCCGATGCCGCCCCCGGCCCACCCTGCGTCCTACGCCCCGCCGTCAAATGCGTCGACGTCCTCGGTGTCCCCGCCGCTGCCTCCCACGCCCACCTCCGCCGCTGGTTCGCAGACGCCGAGTCAGATCGCCCCAGTCACGCCGGCGAGCATGCTGAAGCTGGGGCGGCTGGCGGTCAGTAGCTCGCTTGTTCAGCAGCCCAGCACGCAGGACGGCGCCACGGGCCAGAACCCGAGGGAGGGCAGGATATCGACCCGGTCTACTGCGTCCAAAGGGAAGGCCGTGGACAAAGTCGCTAACGGCACGCTGACAAGCCCCGCTCTCAAGCCAATCCGCCCAGGTTAGTGCCCCCCTAGTACAATGGTATCGGTACAGCGCTTACTTTCCCGCTAGCTGGCAACGCGGTGATGACGCCGATGGCGGCCTCGCCTACGTCACCGTTCTCGCAGCCCGGTATGGTCGTGCGCAAGACGTCACACAAGGCGGCGGAGCAAAAGCGGCGCGACTCGCTCAAGACGTCCTTTGACGACCTCCGCATCCTCCTCCCGCCGATCCCGCTCCCGTCCGAGGAGGGCTTCCCCGACGAGCCGCTCCTGCCCGGGGCGATGCCGCCCCGCGGACCGCCGAAGGGCAACACCGAGGGCCCGAACCGTGGCGTCAGCAAGCTGCAGCTGCTGCGCTGCGGAAACGAGTTCATCAAGGTGCTCCAGGGCCGCATCGAGCGGCGCGACGACGAGATCGTGCGCCTGCGGCAGGAGGTGCGCCGGCTACGCGAGGTCGCAGGCGAGGACACCACCGAGGCGGTCGAGGGCCAGGAGATGATCGACCTTGAGCGGGACCTCGACGCGTGCGAGGTCTCGACGGGGCGCATATTCGGCCGGGCGAGGGCGTCGTCGATCACGGAGGGCGACGGAGACGAAGACGGAGATTATTGAGGTGAAGTATCTATGAAGGCAGGCTCGGACAGATAGCAATGAAACGCGTTGTACTTATTCCCTTCTGGGCGTTCTTGCTGGGGCTACTATTATATAGACGAATAGAAAGTATGTCGAGATGTATTGTTAGTTACCGCCTGTTGGCCATATGCCTATCCTTAAAAGCACGTCCGCTGCGTAGCATACCCCCATCGCTCCTCTCCTGCCTGCCCGCACCCGCCACAGACGTCTTTGCAGCCCTCCAAAAATTTATGTAACTGCCACGTAAGTATAAAGTGCTGGAAGAGCGGAGGCTTTTGTCTGCGAACGTGGCTCGCGATCATTTCTGCAAGCGTGCGCGATCACGATCTGGCATCTGCCTCCCGGATCTGGGTTATTGTCGTGCCACGTGGCCGGTATCTCATCCGGTGCCTGGCGCGCACAAGTTCGTTCGTCCCGCGCACTCTCCTCCCGCCACCGACCACCACCCCCTCCGCCCGCGGACGCTGCGCACGGTAGACCAGCTCAACATGGCACAACAGGGCGTGGCCGTCAACAGCGTATTGTGCGTGCTTCTACGGGGAAATGGAGACTAGCGACTTACTTATCTCACGTGCGAACAGCTCGGTGGTGTTCCTGCTGCATATCGCGCTGGACATCCCTATGGCGATCCAGGGCCTCTGGTCGCCGCTCAATCTTCCATTCCTGCAGCTGAACAACACCGCTATTGTGTTTATCAAGGTATGTCGCGGCAGACCGGTAGTGCCGCGGAAGTACTGATCATCCGCCCGCAGTTGTATGCGGCGCTTGTCGCCGGGACGTGCGTCGCGTCGCTTCTGTGCTTCAGCCTTCCCGGTGCGTCCTTCGCTCTCGCGCCCTGTCGTAGCGAGTCACCGCTGACGAGCCGTATTGTGTACCAGAATTCCTACCGGGCAAACGCGCGCTGGCGATCGCGCTCTGCGTGTACCACGTCACCTGCTCTACGGTCCTCTTCAACGCCCCGCGGTTCATTCCCCACTCGTTTGGTGCTCTCGCGGAAAAGTATTCTACGCATTTCCCCCCCCGCCCCGCGTTAACCAGTGCTAACGAAACCTGCCAGCTATCGCGCCACCCCGGAAGTCATGTGGGGCACCCTGCACGGTCTGGTCGGGCTCGGCTTCGCGGTGTGGTGGCAGGCGACCGTGCAAATCGCCGCGGCGATGGCAAAGATCGCAAAGTCACAGTGAATATAACGGCGGCGTTCCTCGGGCGCTGGGCCTCTGTATACCTTGGATTATACCCGTCAGCCTGTGCTCTAGGCCATAGGGGATGTTGTGCTGTATGTATCGGTGCGTTTGGATCAGGTGTTGTAACTTTGACATCGGTTATTCTGTGTTCAAGAGGGGCGTCCTTGGCAGGGCCATGCGGACGACCACCCTGCTGGTAACCGACGCAACTGGAGGTTCGCATCTACGGCCCCACCGACAGGATGACGTTGCTAATGGGAGCGTTGTGGAAGGCGTTCGAACTTCGAATTACGTGTCTGTCAAAGAGACTGGCACCTTCAAATCGAGGATAATTATACAGTCGGCGCCGACTCGGCGGGTCCAATACGGGCCGTTCAAGCTGGTTGCAGATGACCACACTCTTCCGAGTCGGAATCGCAGGCCCCACTCGCTGTCCACATGGGTGTGGGAGACGGATGAGCCTGGTGTCGCATGAAGCCTTCCTTTTTGGCTTAGAGATGGGCAGGCGAGTACGCTCTAGCTGGTGCATTTACGCTCGATCTAGCCCAGGTGTCGGATGCAGTGGCGGTCGCTGTAGCAGACAAGTACCATCCCGCGTCCACTCCGAGTTCGACGGAATCTTGCGGCCGGGTGCACAGCGTCACGAATCACGCTGTAACAGCATTGTCACAATTTCCAGCACCTCCAAGCCCACTCCGGCAACCGCCGCGCGGCCTTCCGTCTCCTCCCACTGCCTTGAATGCCATCGATCATCAGAGTCCGTACTCCCCCTTCGTGAGCTTTGCGCTGGTGGACATTGGTCACATAGAGAAAGAGAGAGACCTCCGGAACCCTCGAGGGTCACAAATACTGACTCACTTTTCGGAAGTTCTCATGCGTGGACGACTCGGAGCATCGTGCGATCGCGTTCTTATCACGCAACAGCCTAGCCTCTCCCTCAGAAGTGGCCTATATCTTCGTTCTGCGACACGAGATAGCTGTTCTCAACCGCTGTCTTTGACGAGGCACTTGTAGAGACTCTCACTGACGTCTCAAAGCCTCTCATTAGGAACACAGTCCGATTAGGGCAATTTTACGAGCGCTTCATCGCAGTCGATCTCAAGTATGGCCTCCTCTTCCACAAGTAAGTGTCATTACTTTCGATGTGCAGGTTGTAGTGCCTTTTCTTACACTACCCACCAATTTAGACACGCTGCATGATGCCCAGGAGAAGCGCATCTGCGTAATCGGCGCAGGACCGAGTGGCTTAGGTGCAATCAAGATTGTAAAGGACGCCCCACAATTTAAAGCCGGAAAATGGACTGTGACCGCCTTTGAGGCCCGTGAAACTCTCGGAGGCGTTTGGTTAGACATCCCGTTCACTACATCTGCACATCGACTCATAGTAAAATACTCGCAGGAACCCTGCGCCGGCGGATCCAACGGTTGCGGAGCCCCCTCTGACAGCGCTGTATGACTCTCTAACCACCAACACGCCGCACCCGCTCATGTCGTACACATCGTACCCCTTCCCGCCTGAAACCCCGCTCTACCCGCCCGCGCCCACTGTGCTCGCCTATCTCCACTTGTACGCGGAGAAATTTGACCTGCTCCCACACATCCGCTTCGGCACCTCCGTCGCGTCGCTGCACTGGAACACGGCCGCGCACAAGTGGGATGTCACTGTCAAAGGGCCTGGGGAAGAGCACCTCCAGTTCGACCTGGTCCTCGTTGCGAACGGGCACTACCGCGTGCCACGGATCCCCGATACTCCGGGTCTCGAGGCGTGGACCGCCGCGGGCAAGGTGACGCACTCGGTGTGGTACCGGCGGCCCGAGGACTACACCGGCAAGCTCCTAGTGGCTGGGGGCGGGTACAGCGGCATGGACGTTGCGTCCGAGACCCGTCCCTTCGCCCGGGAGGTGATCCACTCTATCACCAGGGCCACCCCGCAAGACGAGGACGGCGGGAAATTCAAGCGGCGTGGGCGTGTCACCGAGTACCGCGACGCCGCCGCGGGCGAAGTCGTCTTCGAGGACGGCACGACGGAGACCGGGATCGACCACGTCGTGCTCGCCACCGGATATCAGTTCGCCTTCCCCTTCCTCACCACACCCGAGGTCCTGCCTGCGCTCCCGCCGCGTATGCCCCCCATCCCTGAGGCGCTGTACAACTCGACATACCACATCTTCCCGCTCGCGAAGCACCTGTTCCCGCTCGTGACGTCCTACCCGCCGTCGAGCCTCGCATTCCTGGGCCTCCCGCTGCGCGTCGCCCCGCTCCCGCTCACCGAGATCCAGACGCAAGTCGCGCTGAAGCTGCTCGCCGACCCCACCGCCCTCGACCTCGAGCACGAGGCCGCCGCCGTCCGCGCGCGCTACAACGCCTTCCGCGCGTCGCTCCAGGCCCGTGCCCAGGTGTTCGCCGCAGACGAGACGGCGCTCGAGGTCGCGATCGCGGACGCGTGGTTCCGGTTTGGATTCACGGAGCAGTTCGACTACCGCGACGAGTTGTACGAGTTCGTGGGCACGGCGTACCGGGTGCCGGCGTGGGAGCGCGAGCTGTTCGAGCAGAAGGATCTGCTGCGGGAAAGATGCAGGGAGCTGCAGCGGAAGGGGGAGGAGGGCAAGTGGCTGAAGGGCGTGGGGTCGGGGGCGGACCCGGTGCAGGAGTGGGCGGACTTCATGTGGAGGGTGCTCGAGGGGAAGGCGCCGCTGGAGGAGTGATAACTGGTGCGTTGCATGTGCTGCCGGGAGCGTTCCATATACTGACTGAGGGTCAAAGCTAGATTTCAAGCTTCGGCCGTTAAAGGTGTAAATAAAACTTGTATCAAGTTCTCCGTATAAATCAGTGGCGATCTGGCCGTATTTTTCTTCATGATAACTGGGTCTCTACGGGGAAGGCTACCGCTCGAGGCCCACGACATAAATCGTTGCGTCAACCCATCCATTTGCCATTCACCGCCGGGAGACTGGAGTTGCTTCAGAAAACCAGATACTTGGTGCTTTGACCGCCAGATATTACAAACGTATATACCCAGTGCATAATGCCGTGCACGATGGGCCAAGGCGGGTGCTATGCATGATGCATGACACCCGGGCCCATTTAACGCACAATCAGCGCTAGACTTGAGATATCGAACTTTGGACCAGACTCCTGCGGCGTACTGTCCACACTGCCTATATACTCCTCTTGTCCCTCCTCCACTTCCTCGTTCTTCATCCTCCCCCCCCCCTCGCGTTGCGCTCCTCATTGCAAATCCTGTGTTCGATCACGGCTCATCTAAGCGACGGCTTAACTCCGCGATTCTCGGACCGTCTGCACGCACCCGGCCGAACTTGCTGGAACCGGCCGTCTACGCTCTCTTGCTGACTACGACCACCGGCTGTCTTTGCAATACACACATATACCCCCACGCCTCCCGAAATTCTCCTGCCAACACAACGACGACGACAGCGACCATGTCGGACGGCCGCGGGATACCGCTGTTGAGTGGCCCGCCACCCGAGTACACCGCGAACGAGCCTTCGTGCCGGAAGTGCAACAAAGAGTTCAACATCCTCTTCGCGCGATCGCGCAGGTGTAACCACTGTGGTGCGTTGCCACGTCTGCCTCGACATGGGCATCTGCTGCGAGCGTGCTGACCGATCTAGGTGCGCAGGCTACTCGTACTGTCATTCGTGCAGCGACTACCAGGCGCTCATGCCGCGCAGAGGGAACGAGAGCGGGTACGACCCGGTACCGGTGTGTGGCTTCTGTATTGAGCTGTTGCAAAGTATGTCCTTGCGTCGCGCGATCGCAGGGTGGGGGAGACGCTGACCGGTGCAAGCGTGTAGTCACCGCGGCCGGGAAGGGTCAACTCAAACAACTCCCGATGGCGAAGCTCAAGCGGTATGCGAAGGCATACAACATCGATGTTGGAGGCGTGATTGAGAAGGACGATTTCATTGAGCGGTTGATTGCGGCCAGGGTACGTGCTTTGTCTTCTCGCATGGGCCTCCCAATTCGCCACTCCCTACCGCGACCTTCCCCGCTATTCGGACGACGCACTAACGTCGACCTATGAAGATGCCTAACGGCTGTCTGCCTACTGCGAAGGAGAACCACTACCGCAAGGGTGGCGTCCCGAACCGCGCCGGCAGCCGTCCCCGCGGGCTATTCACCCGTGCCATGGATGCTATGAGCGGCTCCCCTCCCTCCCCATCCTCGTCGCGACAGCAGCCCCAGTCTCAGTACACACCGCACCCGCCATACCAACCGCGACAACGTACAACATCCGGGCCTAGTCGGTTCCCCCGCCCCGACCTAGACCCGCGCGACAATATACCGCCACAGCAGCAGCAACCATACTACCACCAGCAACAGGCCCCCAGGCCCGCGCCCCCTCATGCGAACACGCGCCCTCCACAACAGCCGCAGCCACAACAGCAGCGGTACGCGCCGCCTCCGGGATACCCACCTCACTATGCACACCCGTACCCGCATCCGCAACCATATCACCAGCCTCAGCCTCAGCCCCAACCCTCACGCCCGAATAACCTCAACGTGCCACCTCCGGGGCGGCCACGCTCCGCATCCGCCACCGCCCCACCAACCCCGCGCACGCAGTCGCCGCCGTCCGTTCAAGCCCCCAGTATCGATGCGCTGCTCGCGATGCCGGACGCGGAGCTCGGCCGGCTCTCGGTCGGTGTGCTGAAGGAGATTCTGTTCGTGAACCACGTGAATCCGGGGCCGGTGGTGGAGAAGGGCGACCTCGTGGCGCGCGTGCGCACGCTCGTCGAACAGGAGCGACGCGAGCGCGAGCGGCACGCACAGGAGGAAGAGGAGGAGCGACTATATGAAGAGGAGATGCAACGTGCACGAGAGGAGGAGCGGCGCGCAAGCGAGGAGCGGCGGGCAGCGAGAGAGGCGGGAGCGCGTTCTGAAGCGCAGCCGGTACCCGCACCGCAGCCACAGGCGCAGGAGGGCGCGTCTGCGCCGGGGCCTGTATCGACCCCGCCGCAGGGCTCGGCATCCGAGTCCCCCGCGAGCACGCTTACGCCGAAGGCGCAGGCGATGGCGACGCGTCTTGAGCGTACGGGGCTGTGTGTCATCTGCCAGGACGAGGAGGCGAATATTGCGATCGTGGACTGCGGGTACGTTCTCACTCTCCTCACTCTAGAGGTTTGGACATTTATTGATCGTGGGTTTGGTTACAGACACCTCGCGCTGTGCCGCGGCTGTTCGGACCTGATCATGAAGAGCACGCGCGAGTGCCCGCTGTGTCGCACACGGATTGTCACAGAGAGCCGACTGCTGAGGATCTTCAAGACTTGAACGGCAGCGGTACAACATATTTTTGGGTCTGCTTGTACGGCTGGCCTAAAGGACCGGTCCTTGGCTTGCTGTGAGATGTCAGGGCGCTTCGTCGTATGTATGTAGGTATTGCTAATGTCAGTCCTGTGTGAAGTTGTAGTCGTGTATCTCAATAATTTCCTCTTCAATCTATGCGAAAGGTCAGTATAGTGCAGCCTGGGGTGAAGGCGTTGATTAGTTGCTATCATGCTGTCCGAAAGGCCCTAGTCTCTGTGGGCGCACAATCCACGGCGGCAATTTGACAGGACCTTGAGGTTATTGAGAGGTGGCAGCCAAACTATAGCGAACCACCGGAATGCAACGACCCGGTATCATACGGTGAACGAACACATCAAAAGAACGTCAATATAAGGAAGGACGGACAGCCTGATTAACCTGGCCATTATCAGAGCATACGACAATCGGAAACATAGGCCGCTCACGGCCTTCAACACACATCTCGCCGTCCCACCAACCATTGACTATACTAGTAGGCGCACTGAAAACTTGCAGCGTCGTTCTGATCGCCTCCCCGGTAGTACCGCGCCTTCAGCGGATGCTGCCATGCCGTGTCAGCACTCGCAATTCTATCGTGACTTACAGGGGGCGGACCTTGCACAGCGGGCGCGTGAACGCGACCCCATCCGCCGCGACGTCGTTGTTAAACTTCGTAGCGAGGATCTTGGTAGGCGCGACCCCGTCCTCGACCCAGTGCATGAGCGCCGCGAGGACATCGTGCTCGGCGTCGAACGGGATGGTTGCTGTTGTGCGGACGTGCCGCAAACGCGCTCAGGTCCGGGTTGATTGCCTGCGCGGATGTGTGTTTATGTAAGTGTGGAGCTTCTGGATGACGGCGGAGACTGGGAGGCGTACATCTGTGTGCCCGGGATTGGTAGCGTCCCCGATCTTGTACACGCTCGAGTTGTACTGGTCGACCGTCCAGGTCGTGTCACTGTCCCCCAGGTCAGCATCCGAATTCTCCTGTGTCACTCGTAACTCGCTTGTGCGTACTTGAGCAACATGTACTGCACCCAGTTGGTGATGAGCGTGTTGGGAGTCTCCCCGAGGAGGAACGTAGAGTACACGTCCTCGCCGCCGTAGTTCAGCCCGGTGAACACGAACTTGCCGTCCTCGTAGTAATACGCGTAGATCTGGGGTATAATGGCGATCTGGTCCGCGTTCAGGCACGTTGCGGGATCTTGGCCCGGGCTGCAGGCCAACGTTTCAGGGCGGAAGCTGAATTGAAGAAAAGTCTTTAGCATGGTGATAAGCCGGTGAAATTCTGAAGAAGGACGCACTTGCACACTGAGGGATCGTTGATGACATTGTCAGTTACCTGTGGCTCACATATCAGCGCACGCCTCTACAGCTCGGTGGTGGCGGGAAGACACACGCCGTCAAGCGCGTCGCACTGCTTCATGACCTCCGGCGCGATCACGCCCGTCCACGTCGCTGCGGGGATGAAGTGCGAGGCCGTCGCGGGCCCGATGAGCTTGGAGAGGTGCGCGCCCCAGGCCACGAGCCGCATCCAGTTCGCGGGAGAACCGATAACCTGCACGAGAAATTCTACCCGTTAGGGTAGGTAGGATAGATAGACGTAGGAGAAACTTACGATGCCGTCGAAGCTGGTGGGGAAGAGCTGGGTTTCTTTGAGGCTGAGAAAACGACAGGCGAGATCAGTACGATTCAAATTGCGATACAATGCGAGAAAGGCATACCCCTGCCGCCCGCCTACGTTTAAGTACATGATGAGTGTGCTGAAGTTCACGGTAAGAACAAGAGAGTTTACCCGTGGAACAGCCCTGGTAGTACGACCGCTTTGGTGCCTGCTGGTGAGACTGCTGAATAATGTCCTTGCCTGCTAGGACGCTGAGATGAACAGCCCTCCATGCGAAATCTACGATCGCGTTCTTGGTAGATGAGAATGTTGGCCTCGCCTACGTAGTTGCGTAAGACAGGTACAACGAACTCACATCGTTGTGAGGTCCGCCCCATGTACCGTCATATGCAGAGGAGTTATGGCCTCCGTTAGTGGACACACCCGCAACTGTAAGAAAAAGGCGTCAGCGGAAAACCTTGCCACACGTGCTTTCATTCCACCCTTATCCTTGTGGAAGTGCGCGGCTACTGAGAGCCGCGACGTCCGCTATGACTTCGGTGAGCCCCCAAATCAAACGCACGTACGCCACGGTTGCTCGTACCTCTTCCGGAGACACCACCGCCGCCGATGGTCAGCATGCGCTGGTTCCACGCCGTTTTATCCGGAAGCCACACTTCCGTATAAGCGAAAGATCCCGCCGTGGCATTCGTGGTGATTAACAGCTGGAGGCGGCAGAACGCGGGCAGACTCGCGGACCCGAAGCCGAGGTAGTCGTTTGAGATCACGACGGTCGTATTCGCGGGGTAGTACGTCCGCTCCGCAACCACCACGCCCGGGGAGGCCTTGGGGGAGAACCCCAGGCAGGCGGCGGATGGGGAGCTTGAGCTCTTGCGGCGGACGGCATCGACGCCGCCCATCACCGCAGAGAACTGCAGGACGCTGACGAGCACGAGGGCTGCGATGGTGAACATGAGCACGAGCTTGAGCGAAGGGGAAGGCTTGCGATGTGCGTGCTTTATAATCGTAGTGTTGATTGTCCGAGGACTTGGGTCCGGGGACTCCTCCGAGAAAGAACTGCGTGCTACGGCTGGGAGTAGACTCATGAGCCGCTGTTGTCGGATGATAGAGTAAATTACATACCAAGAAGTGGCGTCGGCGAGGCTGAGCGTTCGAGCATCTTCAGCGGTGGGTATGGATAGCGTCGGGGGAGTTTTTCAGCCGCCGTAGACTTTGAACATTCTTGTAGGGTTTCTATGCGTGATCAAGGTGACGGGTTACTTTGAACCATCTCGGTCCGAACGAGTCGAAGCCATCGGTCTGGTTTCATGGGCGGCCGAGAGTTCGGTCACACAAAATACAAAACTGCTACGTACAACTACGGACCGAAAGCATAGCGATGGACCCACCAGAAGTAGTGGTCCAGGATGATCACGACACGATGCATAGCAAAGTCGAAGCCCGAGCCATACCGGTGGCAGTGGCAACTCAGCCTTTCAGACTGCTGCAGCTTTCAGCATTCCCGTGCCTTCAGTCCGAGAGTGTTCTTCGATGGAGTCAATTCGTATTGTAGTCATCAATATACAAAATCCAAACTGGTCAGGTAAATGAACCCATAGTCAGGAGAGCATGAGCAGACATACCGTACTGTACCTCCAGGACCAAAGCGGCGGGTCACAGGTCACAGCGACCTCCGCCGCGCCGCTTTAGGGGGTGTGTCCCGCGTCACAGTCGCCCCCGCCGCTTCAGCGGCGGCGAGCCGACGCCGGTCACACTCCAAAAAGGCGTTTTTGGCGGCCCTGCGGGGCCCCGCGCCGCTTTGCCTACCGGGCGGTCACAGGCACCGCCGGTCGCGCCGCTTTGGACGGTCGTGTCCGGCCGGTCACACCCCAAACCCCCCGCCGCTTTGGTCCCGGAGGTACAGTACTACTATCACTGTACGGGATATGCAAACGATTTGTCTATTTCTGCAATTATGAGCGCATACCTTCGCAGGATGCCACCGAAATTCGCCATGTGGTCCAGATTGGTCTTTTACATATGTTGTTGTATTTTATTTCCTCAAAAGACGACAGGAGCTGACCTCGGAGCACTTCCGGAAGGGCGACTTTATTCTCGCCATGTAATGCAAAGTATGGTCACCGCCAGTCACGGCGGCACGTTGGAGCTCCGACTCGGCAATCGTGTGATGAACGCTCGGTGCAGGCGGGAAAGCGCGCCCTCACCACGTCCGAGGTCGATTTGCATTCCCTGTCCCTCCTCACTCAGCCACCGCTTGCGAGTAGGCAAGCTCGCGTGCACGGCGGAGTTCAAAATTGTCACTCTGCGAGTAGACATGGGATGCAACATCTCTCCCAGTGGGGAACCACTACTCAGGAAAGCAATCGGGTTGGTCGATTATATTCCGAGTCTTCATGGAAGACCATGTACGAATTTTCAGCTCTATCGGTAGAGAAACTGGCTATGGATCTAGGTATCAGAATTCATCAGACGCCCAAGCAGCGCATACATTGGCCCCTCAAAACCATTGTTTCTCAACTCCACATTGCAATCCTTCGTCAATCCGTTTGAAACTTCGTAGACGTTTTACGATGCATATATACAGGTGGTCACCAAAATTAGAATGCGAACGGACAAGCACTCGAGGCACAATGCGCGATTTGCATTGCATGTCGCTATT